TGAGCTGTATCGTTACAGCCGCTCCCTCCCGCGGGACTCACCTCATGGTGGGCGGCTGTGCCCCGCCGGGCCCGGCCCGCTCCCACAGCGCAGCTCCTTGGAGAGCTCGGGTTGTGCCTGCGAGAGGTACGTGAGGAGAGTGAGGAAGCGGGAGCGAGGGAGGCAGGGCTGTGCCGTTCCGCCTCTTGCAGCCCTGTCTTGAGGGGCTCTGAACTCGGCCTGTCCGCTCTAAAGATAACGGGGTGCTGAGGTAAACACGGCCTAAGGAAAGCACACGGACCTGTCCTATTGCAGAGACGCTGCGCCCAGTACTCTGGTACCTAGTGCCTAGTGTTCATATAGGGTATTTAGGCTTATTCAAGATGAACGTCCAGTACTTGTTACAGTTGACTTTCTTGAGAAAGATACCTATGTGAAGTGAATGCAGATAGGTCTATGTTCCCAAAGATAGTTTCTTAACTACACATCAATGTAATTTCTTGGCACAGCATGGTCATTTACTGCTCATTTCACCTCCACAGGGAAAAAAAAAAGGAAGTAGACGTTACCTGTGACACTCCTACTTTGAGATGTCAAAACAGGTCACTATAGCTGACTGGTGATGTTAGTTAGCAATATTCACAGGAAGGGGAAGTCCGAATTGTGGACGTGTCACTCAGAAGTGAGGACTGGCCCTTCTGCAAACTCTCTTGGAAATCACTGTTAGTAATTTGCACCAGGGAGAGTGGTCTTGAGGCCTTGATGCTATTCGTGTCTGATTCAAGCGCTGTCTTTTCCTCTCTTTTGCAGCAGACTGCTGAAGGACAGGCAACAGCATACAGATAGCGTTAATGTCAGAGACTCGTGCAGGGTGCAGGTCTGAGACCCGAAATGTGTTTACACCTACAACTGTGCTCAGCAGCAGTATGTAATGTAGGTTGCGTGCATTCCTCCTCAGAGTACCCTCATCCCCTCTCTTAATGGGGGATGATGCAACTCGGCGCCATTTCAAGATAAGGACATGGGAAAAAATAAAGAAATGGGAAATTCCCCAGGCACTTCTGTCTGTGTATCTATCCTGGGAATTTGATTTTTCACACTTACAGAATGGATTATATCACGTATGACACAAACAGTCTTTATGGCAAAAGCATCACACGGAAGGAGTGGGAAATACCACTGGTGGGGGAGAAGGAGAAACCTACTTTTCTTTCCAAGTGACCATCAAACGCTGCTACCTGCAGTTTTTCGGGTTTTGTTTTCGGTGCAGGTGTCTGAGAAGAGCTTTGTAACAAGCCAGTTGAATGGCAACATAGCAGTGTACAAGCCAAGCAGGTCAGGAATGGAAACATACTTTCTACAGGCACAGTGGCCTCCTACTTTGCTCTTGGGAGAGGTAGCAATTTGCTCTTAGTAGGAAGAAGCAAATTACTACCCCACTCTGTGCCAGCTCGGCTGGCTGGGACTTTGTGATCCGAGCAAAGGCTCTTCCCACTCACTGTCCCCCCACTAAGGGGCTGGGGGAGTAGCAGGTGCTGATGCTGGCTGTTTTGCATGACATAAATATGAAGTCCTGCTGCCTCATTCACAGGCAGAAAGGTTGCGCTGCTTTTGCACTCCGTTGTACTCATTGCACAGCCAAGGGACATAGCCTAAGGCAGGTGATGGTGAGCTGTCTCAATCCACAACTGTCAATACCTTCTACATTGGGGTAAGGTGCTTTTTTCCTTAACTTTTCCTGCATTTCACTGTATTTGTTGAAGATTTTGGTGCTGTATCATGTAAATCCTTACTTTTTGTGAGAGATTCTGTTCAGGACTGTCCACAGAATGGATCTTTTTCTGGATCCTCCACTAAGCAATCTTTACTCATTCGGTGGGATATTAATACAAAATATTTAATATATATTTTTTCCTGTACACATTAGGACTTTGCAGCAAAAAGAAGCATAACCATAGTGAAGGAGGGGGTTTTTGTTTGTTTTGTATTAGTACAGGAAAGGAACACAACTCAACTGTATTTGCTATATGGGATTTTACTGTGTGTAAAATAACAGTGCTGGCAGCCTTCACAAGGATGGATTTCAATTATCCATCATTAGTCCCTTTTGCCCTGTGACATACTTAGAAAGGCAACAGAGTGCAGGAAAACAAATGAATACAAATTTAATTATAAAATCAACCCTTGCTGCTTTGGGGTCAGAAAATGTAAACATTCCTTTTATGCTGAAGCAGTGATCTTGGCCTCGTGCATTAATGAATCTCTATGAAAATGCAAAGTAAATGTAACTTCCTTTCTCCTTCCAAATTTGCAATGCAATTTACTGAAATGATGGCAAAATCCAGATATCCAAATTCTATGATCTAGAACTGAAAAACTGGGAGGATAACTTCCCCTTATTAAAGCCATGGGACTCTGGCTGTGTAATGATGGCGTTGAAGAAAACCAGCTAATTTCTAATGAGCAAGGATGGTCCTCTAGTGTATCTTGCCCACTCGTTCTCGTTGCTTGTTTTCCTATAATTCTTTTCTGCATCATTTGTGTACTTCCATCAGGAAGGTTTATGTTCCCTTTTCTCTCAGGAGACTAGATGGAATAATTCCAATGACAATTTGCTTTTGAGCAACATCCAACTTCCAGTTTTTAATCCTGAGGACACTTGAGAACTTTTGCTGGTGTCATGTATTGATTGTGTTTGTGCTCCTAAGTCATTTGTTCACAGGCAGCTAATCTCTTCTACACAGGGTTTAATTATCCCTTTTCGCACCCTGAGTGCACCATGCTTCAGGATTAAGACACTGATTTCATCAATATTAAAATAGTATAGAAATGAGATTTTTCAACATTTAGCCGAAAAGGTGAGATTTTGCCTGGTGTTTGTGCCTGTTTGTGGTGCTTTTCATCTAGTGCTGCAGTGCTGGCATGGCCAGCTCTGGCAGCGGGAAGCTTTTGTGATCATCTACCTCATTATGAAGACCAGCCATGAGCAGGATTAGACAGTTTGATCCTTAGAGTCCTGGTGGCTGCCTGGAATACTTCTGCACTCATTTTTCTTCCAGGGCTGCTGATTGTGCAGCTGAACCAAAAGCAGAGACAAAAAAGTGTGCAAACCCACCCAGCAGGCTGGAGTGCTTTTTGTCCAAAAGAGTCCAAAGAAATCAAGAGATAGTTGCAAATTTGGCAACATAAAATAATACTGTTCATACTCTTTGCAAATAAAAGACTTCAAACTTCGTCTTAACATCTTTCATCAATGTTGAATTCACGTAACTGCTACAAATAAGGTAGTGATGGACCAGAATAAGGTTCAAAAAGAAGAGAAATAACAGAGTTCTTCAACAGCAGAAAAAACACCCAACCTATTACAAGGTGTTTTCTTGTGACTGAAATCACATATGTGATTGGGCTAAACATATGATCTAAAGACTGACATGATATCTACCAAGTAGGTGTTTGGTTTTTTTTTTCCGCTATTTCCTCTCTGAATTCTTGGGCAAGTCTCATTCCTTAGACCCTCTTTATCTACGAGCATGTGATCTAGGGCCAGGACTCTACTCCTCGTTTCAGGGCCTACGTGCTGTAGTTCATATTATCAGTGAAACAGTTGCTTTAGGAGAATAACTCTTAAAGTGGCACTCTAAGAATGGGACTTCTGAGTGGAAATTTTTCATTCCCAGACTGTCCCACAGTTTCCTCTCTTCTTAAAGGTGTGAGATTATAGGAACCTTATGAACTCGCCATGCCTGCAGCAGCATATCTGAGCAAGTTTCTAAAGAGAAATGAAAGTATTTTCCACTGTTGGGAATCTTCATTATTATCTTGTCTTTGCTGGTACCCCTTCAAATCTAGCAAGTTCTTTGCAGTATTTGAGGAGTATTTTTGGCTGAAGGGCCTTCAGTAGCACAAACTCCACAGCCTTTGAAGAACTGACCACAGATATACTCCATGGGAAGAAAAGCAGCCTTTGCACATCACAAGACTGACAGGCTGCAGAAGCAGCAGGAGGATGGGACATGATTGTTGTAGAGGTGTGGGGAGATGTGTGCAACTCTTTGGACAACAAGCTGAGGATCTGCAGGCTGGGATAGAGCAGAGTGTCCCCAGGTCTCTTCTGCTGGCTCCTGTGCATCCCATGTTCTCAGAACTTCACGCAGGTTAAATGTAGCTGTGGGACCAGACGCTCTGTCTGTAGGAAACCCCCCAAAACTATGTCATACATTGCATGCAGTTTCTAACATACTGCTGCTGCTCTTACTTAACAGTCAGTAATGAAGGTATTTCAAGGCATGCTGCTGGCGTAACTGCTGGCAGTATTCAGTAGGCAAAGCTCTTTGCCACTGGCCCTGGTGACAGTCCTTATGTCATTGCCAGAGTGCACCAGGCGTTCTGGCCATTCACTGTTCTCAGCCTACTGAACTCATCCAGAGATTAGATTTGATTACACGAGAATTCATTATGATTACCTAATGGTATTAGGCACCATTACTCTGCCAACTTTTTGATGAGTAATGGTGTGTAGTATTGCAGCCATTTATGAGAATCATAGAACTCTGTTCACTGACCTTCACTTCAGTTCCTAAGTCATGGACTTATGTATATTCTTGCTTGATAGCCATAGTTACAGCTCCTCTGATATTATTTTTTAATGAAGGACTGGTAACAGGGGTAGGTTGTGTCAAACCAGACCACTAGCTTATCTGGACTCATTCCCTTTCTCCAGTGGTGGTCCACTGCTGTAGAGAGGGAAACAAGCGCAGCAGTTCCATCCCATTTGTCTGCTGTGAAAGGCAGCAGGGAGGTGGAGGTGGGGGTGAGAGGAGGGAAACAGTTTCTTCACCTTAGGCCAATTAAAGGGATGCAGCCGCTCAGCAGTACAAACACAGCATTCACTTCTGCAAGGCACATTGTGCTGCCAAACACCACCATGTGTACCCTACAGAGGGCATAAAAAGTACAGGATAATCGTGGACAGCATACCTTGACTAGTATTTTAAGGACAGATAGTTGCATAGTGTGATAAATAAAAGGAAATAGTACTTATTCTTTATCACTGCTGATCATTCTGTCTTAACTTGATGATCTTAAAGCTCTTTTCCAATCTAGTTGATTCTATGCTATCCAGAGGGACTTTGACATGCTTGTAAGGTGGGCTGATGCCAACCTTATGAAGTTTAACCATGCCAAATGCAAGGTCCTACACCTGGGTCAGAGCAATCCCAGGTACAGCTACAGGTTGGGCAGAGAAGAGATTCAGAGCAGCCCTGTGGAGAAGGACTTGGGGGTGTTGGTTGATGAGAAAATGAACATGAGCCGGCTTCAGTGTGCGCTTGCAGCCGAGAAAGCCAACCGTATCCTGGGCTGCATCAAAAGGATCGTGACCAGCAGGTCAAAGGAGGTGATCCTGCCCCTCTACTCTGCTCTCGTGAGACCTCACCTCGAGCATTGTGTGCAGTTCTGGTGTCCTCAGCATAAAAAGGACATGGAACTGTTGGAACAAGTCCAGAGGAGGCCACGAGGATGATCAGGGGACTGGAGCACCTCCCATATGAAGACAGGCTGAGAAAGTTGGGGCTGTTCAGCCTGGAGAAGAGAGGGCTGTGTGGAGACCTCATAGCAGCCTTCCAGTATCTGAAGTGGGGCTATAGGGATGCTGGGGAGGGACTCTTCATTAGGGACTGTAGTGATAGGACAATGGGTAACGGGTTAAAACTTAAACGGGAAGTTTAGATTGGATATAAGGAGGAAGTTCTTTACTGTGAGGGTGGTGAGGCACTGGAATGGGTTGCCCAGGGAAGTTGTGAATGCTCCATCCCTAGCGGTGTTCAAGGCCAGGTTGGACAGAGCCTTGGGTGAGATGGTTCAGTGTGAGGTGTCCCTGCCCATGGCAGGGAGGTTGGAACTGGATGATCTTAAGGTCCTTTCCAACCCTAACTATTCTGTGATTCTGTTAACTTGTGTTGTCAGTAGACTGGCTTTAAGATTAATGGCATCCCTATGGTGGTCTTACTAAAGAGAAAACAAAGTAGAAGTCACTACTTTGGAAGTTTCAGACTGTTCTCCTGCAAACAGCTGGTGTACCCCACATTACCGCACTTTCCCACCGCCAACTGTTGACAGCTCTCCTCTTCCAGGAATTGACTTCCCGGGGGCTGGAAGCAGCGCGCACGGACCACCCTGCCAAATCTCAGCCCTTGTGGTTTAAGCACAATGCTTTGAGCATGTCTCGGCTGTTCGGCACCTCCCGAACACTCCTAAGCCCGGCCTTTTCCAGGTATTTATGTTCCCCGCCTTGCTCCCCTTGCGGCTCGAGCAGCGCCGCTGCACCCGCTACAGGTGGGCGCTGCGGGAGCGCTGTCCCTCCCGCCACCCCCAGGTGCCGGGGACCAGCGCGGAGTCCCCGAGCTCTAGATCCGCCCGTGCTGCCGAGCCGAGCCGAGCCGAGCCGAGCCGAGCCGAGCCGAGCCGAGCCCGGGAGGGTCGCGGCACAGCCCTCGGTAGCGGCGGGGTCGCCCCGCCTTGCCCGCCGGCGCGGCGCGGGGTACGCCGGGAGTTGTTGTCCCGAAGGGGCGCCCAGCGGCGGCAGCGCGGCGCCGGCAGGACTCCGCTACCCAGATTGCCCCGCGGGGGTATATAGTGCGCGGCGGCGAGCTGCGGGCGCAGTAACCATGTGGATGTGCAGCTGAGGCGGAGGGGGGAGCTCGGCGCAGCCTCCATCCTAACGGGACCGGGCAGCGCCGCGCCGCCAGCATGGGGCTGCCCAGCCGCCGCTAGCCCGACCCGCTGCCACCGGAGACAGGTACGGCCCGGGAACCGGGCGCGGGCAGGGGCTGCAGTGGCGGCAGCAGCTGGGGAGGGAAGCGGCGAGCCCCGCTCGCTCCGGCCGCCGGGGCAGCCCCCTTCTCCAGGCCACCGCCGGGCTGCGGGCGCGGGGCGGGAGATGCCACCCATCCCCGGGCCGGTGCTGAGGCTGGTCCGGCGGAGCGGTGTTCGGCGGGGATGCCCGGCCGCCGGAGCCGCCGCGGGACGGGGCAGACACCTCTCCGCTCTGCCGGCTGCGCGGAGCCTGGTCCCGCAGTGCCGCTGCCGCCGGGCCGGGCCCGGGTCTCCCCTCGGGCTCGCCGCCGTCCCTCTCTGCGGACCGGCCTCGGCGGTGGAGCAGAATGACCGCGCCAAGTTTCCCCGTGTTTTTCTTCTCGCACTTGAGGCACGGTTGCAAGGGGTGTTTCGCGTTATGTAAACAATTGCGAGCGCTGGTGGGGGGGGACTTGGCCATCGATGAGCTTATTCTTAAATGGTCAAAAGCTGGGCAGCTGGGGTGGATGCTTCTGAGGGTCTTGGTAACTGCTCTGACAGGCCAAATATTTAGCTGTTTCCCGGACTACAATAACTGGACTTCAGCGAGGGGGAGGGGGCACATGTGCGTTCCTCATGTACGTGGGATGTGCCCAAATCCTGAGCGGGTTTGTGTCCTAGTCCTAAAAGCTCAGTTATTGCTAGTTACGCTGGTGGTTTTGGGTCTGAAGACTGCCTTGGTGCTCCCCTGCCTGTGCAAGGAGGCTGCGTGTGCCTGTTGCTCTACGGACGCTTGTTGCATTACCCCGGTGCAGCGGGTGCTTTGCTGAAGAGCTGCATGCAGCCGCGATGGTTTGGGGTTGGTCGGTTTCTCCTCTGGTACAAAACCTCTTTGCTCCATGTGGGTTCAGTATGGCTCACAGTGGATTATATAAAGAAAGTCTCCAACAGGTGAAACGTTTGAATTACTGCATCAGGTGTACCACAGTTCACAAGTGCCTGCTCAGCTGCTGCAAATCAGGAAGGGAAAATATAACTAAAACAATCTAGATTGTTGCCTTATGAAGATACAGTGACCTGAAGTCATGCACAGAGTAGTGTGTGTGGTAACTGTTTATTTATTAATGAGGGCCAGTACCTTTGCATGTCTCTTACTTCTTGAATGTGCATTTTGGTATTTGCAGTTGAGTTTCTTTTCCTGTGCTCAAAAATTTGCCTGGTAACCCAGGACTTTCAAACCTGTTGAGCCAAAAGACTTGCTGACTCAGAGCCTGGTGCAGGGGCCCACACTGGAATTGCTTTCAATTTTGGGTTCAGCTGTGTGAGTGTAACATGTGGTGTGAAGCCAGTATCTCTTTCTTTCCCTCAGTGGTTTCTCTGTGGCTAAGTTAATGGACTTCCAGGTGCTGGATTTTTAGGTTATTTTCTGAACCTCTACTTTAAATGAGTTTCCTCGCACAGCAAATATTCCAGGTTCTAAATGCTCAGTGGTTTTGCTGGTATAAGGCCTGAAACAATAACAGCACTGTGTGGCATCGACTATAGCAAAGCACTGGTCATCCAACTCTGGTAGTTCAGTGAGTGGAGAAGACTTGTGGCATTGATCAGTCCAAAAATCGTGGCGTAACAGGACGCATGGAATCACAGAATGGTTTGAATTGGAAGGGACCTTAAAGATCATCTGGTTCTGACCCCTAGTGTGAAAGTTGAATGCAGGGGAAACCAGTTGACTTGAAATAGTGTGAATTTGTAATGGTCAGTGTGTAAGCTAGAAAAGGGCCATTGTGGGAATTAGAAACACAGTTCCAGTGTTTTTCGAAATGAGCTGTTATAGGAGCACTGTCAAATAAGCTGTTTACTGAGCTGATTATTTCTAATGTGTTCTTTAAGCCAACTTTTGTTTGTCCATAACAATTCTTGTTAAAATACCTTATTCCACCCTGAGATTAAAGTGTTGGCTTAGATGAGTTTTCTCCTCGTCCGCTTGTTTTGCAGCGTTGATTAAGTCTTGAAATAGGGAGTGATCTTGTTTCCTCTTACAGGGGTTCATGAATTAGGAAGTAAACAAACAGCAAGAGTAACTTTTTTGGTTTGCCTTTGCAATCATGGGGTGGGGCTTTACTGTGGGAAGTAGTATGTTATTGTAAGATTTGCTAGTCCTGCATGCCATCGTTGGAGAGTTGAACGGGTCCTGGTGAAGGACACAAGAGTTGGGCACTTGGTTGGTGTGTTATCAGTGACTGTTGTTGGAGCAGGTCTGGGTAAGAACACCAGATGGAAGAGGTGTGCTGGGACTCTTAAACAGCGTGGGGGGTGGTGTAAAGAACAGCTTTCGTTTCTGGTTGTACACCAGGGCTGTAATATGATCTATTCACAATGCCATTAATCCTCTGGCATCACCTTGACAAATCCATGTTGGTGTGGGGTAGATCAGAAAGTGGGAAAATAAAGTTCAAGTGAAGAAATCATTTCAAGGCTTGGCAGCTCACCAGTGCTGTTGCAGCTTAGGGCCATCAAAATGACAACCTGCTGCTTGGTGTGAGGTCTTGGTCTAATTTTATGGTAACTCTTCTTGTAAAGCCGTGCTAAATGAGCGTTACAATGTGGCAGTGTGAGCGGATGGCCAGTCACCTGCAAGGGTGGCAGATTTAGGATGAAATGTGCAAGCAAGGCTCCAGTACTCTGTGTGTGTACCGCAGGGGAGGCTGCAATTCCTGATCAGTTACTGGTGTGGTCCAGAAGTCCATTCTGGAAGCAGAAGCTCCTTTCAGCTGCTTCCTGTCAGATGAACTGGTCTCTCCTGATAAATCGCTGAAATGAACAGTATTGAGGTAAAACTTCTTTCTCAGCACTATAAGGCAGGCTTAAAACAGTACCCACATATCTCCAGACCTTTTCTTGTATGTGCCCTTTGATGAAGCAGTGAGAAGAGCAGGTGTAGCTTGTTGTGGTTGTTTTATTGTCCATGCTGTCCCCTGTGATGCTGTGCATGGTAATTCTTCAGTGCATAGCATACTCCTTAGACCTATCTGATGTGTCAAATTGCAGCGTGTACTGGGAGTCTTTGAGATGTTATTACCACGTAAATATAAGATAGTTGTAGGATTATATCTTAAAGACAGGAGCAATCTCACGATCTTGTGGGAGGTGGGATGAGGGTAGTGGCTCTGTAGTAGCTGGTAGACGAGCTGCTTGCTTGCCTGTGGGTGAGTGTGAGGGAAAAGGCAGCTTCACCAAAGCAGCTTATGAGAGACCAAAGGGGTTTAGAGATGGAAAATTATGTGCTGCTAGGAAGTTACATAAATGTAATGTTTCTCTCACAATGCAAACATGGTATTAATTTGGTTTCATAAAAATCTGCCTTTCTGTACATTCCAAATCTGTTTCTTATGGTGCTGCGATAGCACCTTCACTGGTTTCTGTTCCTTTGGTGGCCTGAAGCCTTTTTTCTGCTCTTTGTATGTAATAGAACTGAAGATGAGTTAAAAGCTATTGAGCAGTTTCATATAGTGTCCTGTGCTGGGTACAGATGGATACTGCTTTACTGAGTGCTGTAAAGGAGAAGACTTGAAAAGCTAGCAGAAGTACTTGGGGCTGCTAAGCCAGATCCTATCTGTGTCCATAGCTATTCAAAATGATTCCTGTGCTCTTCCGCTGTGCATCTCCCAGAGGCTGCTGCAGGAGGCAGGATGCCGAACAGTGTGAGCTTTGATCTGGCTCAATTATTTCTTTCTGATTTCCATTCCCAATGGACACTACAAAAGCACTGCAGCAATTATTGCCTGGTGCTCTGTGTTGGCACAGATGGACAGTGGCTGGGTATGGAGGCAGAACCCTCTTTCAAGGGTGCTCATTATATTGACAGAGGCAACCACAAGAAGTGTGTGTAATTCTTGCTTGTACTGTACCTGTTGAGAAAGTACATTTCCAGGTCTTCAGAGCATCAGATTTCTTCATGGGGGAAAAAAAAAAAGATAAAATGAAAACTACAGGAACTGTAATTCAGATGAGCAAAGCTGCAAAATTCAGCCCTGGATTCTCAGCTCAGAGGAGTTTCAATTTCATAGTTGTGGTTTTGGTTAAGACTGTCAAAACCTAGATCAGAACTTACTTTTCCTTCTTAACAGCATTATATAGAAAATAAAATGTCACTTCAGATTTGAGTAATTAATCCTTCAGGGATGAAAATGCGCTAGAAATGCACATGGACGTATGCATTACTGTGCTGTTTTACGGCTTTGTGGCAATGTAACTGCATCCT